TTGTATTTTGGTGTCATCCTGGTTATATATATAGAAGAGATGATTATTTCATAACAGGTGCTCAATCTAACCAGGCAGCAGATGGAAAGAAAGACGAGGAGATTAGATCTCTGCAAGAACAGTTAGAGAAAATGAGATTAGATAATGCTAACAAAGACTCCTCTATAGAAAAATTAGTAAGTCTTTTACAGCTGTAACAGCCAAATAAGTGTACACAGAACAATAATTGTGTTCATGAGTAACATTTCTTGTTATTTTGTTAATCTGTATTTCAGAAATGGTTGGATGGGGGATGGGAGCTTAATTGTCAGTTGAAAATTTTTGACATATTATTAACAAACATTGGCAAAGAGTGATGCTTTTTGTTGAAAAAAATAATCATCTTCAAGAAATGCATGTAGTTAAATTTGCAATTTCAGAAAACAGATGTTACAATGTTAGAGGCCAGAATTGTGAATAATGAGGAAGAGGATAAGGAGAATATTGTCCCTAGTGAATCAGAAGTGTTACAAACAACCATTAATAGACTTCAAAGTGAATTACATGAACTGCGGTCAGGCTTAGCAGAAAAAGATAACGAAATTAGCCGCCTTGGTGTTCAAAATAATGAGGCACAGAGCCAGATTCAGTCTTTAGTAAGTATGATAGGGAAATCATATAGTATAGCTTTTAACGAGAGATAGATAGATAGTGAGAAGAAATATTTACTGTAAACTTACACAAGTTATCTCATCAGGAAAAGCTTTAGAAATAAGTGAAAACAATGATTTTGACTTTGCCGGAAAAAAAAAACAGACTCATCAGGGATCAAGGAAATAATAATTTAAAAAAAGAATAGAAAGTACTTAGAAGTTATTTAACCTGCAGCCAATAATCTTTTAAATATACATGTAAGGGAGATTATTTTCAGTAGTTTTAATGCATTTTTATGTACATGTACTTGTATGATATCTGCCAAATTATGATAAAATTTCAAGTACCGGTACATTTATAATAATAAGACCTTTGGCTGAATGATAACATTTTGGTAGGTGTTCAGTTACTGGTAGTTATTTGCTTTAGCTCCTGAATTATTTGTAATCATAATTTGCTACAATGAGAATAGATACTAAAAGAACAGAGGAACCTTGATAGTGATATGCACATACATGTACATGAATTAGTAATACACTGTATAGCTAAAATTCAATTTACTTTAATTTCTTAAAACATGTTCATTTTTATCAAAACCATTATGCTTATTGCAGAAACAAAGGTTAGAGAGCACTGCTGAAATCCAGGCAGATCCAGCAGAAATGGCTAAACTAATGGAGGAAAAAATGACCCTGCAGGAGAGACTGAAGAAATCAAATGAAGAGAATTTAAAGCAGTTGGATAAATTTAATGTAAGTATAGGGTACAGAAGTACTCAAAAATGTACTTAAAGGAATGGCAAGGAGGCTTAAAATTTTTAATTAATTTAATATATCTTTTTTAAAATGTAATATATTAAACAGGTTATGCTCTAGAATTAAAGTAGCAGGGGATAAAAAGCAGAAGGGGTTTAGGGTTCCTAACAGAGGGTTGAGGGGAAAATAGAAGAATAACCAGGTTTTATGTCATTAGGCCATAATAAAAATATTCCTAGATTCTCATCCCCGCCCGCCCCGATTTTATACCCCCGCCTCGATTTTTTTTATTTCTGTTTTTTCTTCGTCTTAATTCGGATCCGGATCAGTATTCATCTACCATTCTACTTTCGTTTTAAATCCCGCGAAAGTCCACATGATTTTGACAGCTGAAAAGATGGCAATTGCTGTAATACGTATGCGTATATATTTTAAACAAGGGTCATTGGTTGAAAAAGATTGGTGATGATGTGAAGTACGAGATAATTGAACCTTTAATATGACTTTTATTCGGGTATAATTGATAAAATTACACCGATTGACCAGGTCAATAAAAAATCTGCAAAATTGAAAAAATAAAATATATAAAATAAAAGCCGCCCGCCCGCCTCGATTTTTGAAAAAATTCGGATGAGAATCTAGCAATTTATTTATTATGGCCTTATAGGATCTGAAATTCTCTGGCCCGAATTCTTAGGGACAACCCGGAATAACAGGGAATAGCTTATTCTTCATATCGTTTTGATTATCTGCAGAGCATTTTATGGCTTTACAGTGTATAACGTATTTATTTTTTCCGTTAAAAGAAAATGGAAGAAGAAAAGAATACTGTACTTAAAGAAAAAGAAGGAGTACAAGAGGAACTAGAGACATTGAAAAAAGAACAAGAAGATCTCCTAGTGCTGCTGGCCGACCAAGATACGAAAATAGAGAACTACAAAAAATTACTGAAAGAAAACAATATTCCAGTAAGTTCAGATTCACTTCGAGTTGTATACATATATTTGAACACTGTTTATACTGTAAACCAACTTTTATTCACCTGCTAGCAACTTTCGCAAGACCCTCATCATTGCAAAATAAGTCATCACAAATAAAAGTTTGTTTACAGTATTTGAAGTCTATTCTCGTTGCTTTATTATATGCATGACTAACAAAATCATTTTTTTTGTTCAAAGCAGTCACAATTTATAGTTTGTTAAATGTTAAGGTACATCTCTTTTCCAGGTAGAGGATGATGATGATGAAGACGATGATGATTTAGATGACGATGATGTTGATGAAGATTAACAAAGATTTTATAGTTTATTTATAAAAGTTAACAAAATTTTAAATGCTTTTAGTGTAGACATTAAAAAATGTCAAACAAGAGACGCTTTAAGGGCCAAGGTCAAAGCTTTCCAAGAACAAGAGGGGAATCTAGTCTGTGATAGATAGAAGAGACAAAAAGTGCAATTGTAAGAAATCTGAATTAACTATTTCTAGAGAATGTTTTCTGCATGAATTCTAAATGGATACCAGATTAATTCTTCCATTCTGTCCATGTCTGTATATTTTGCTGGGAAGATCATTTTTTTTTTATGAAAGTATTTATTGAAAATGAAAGAATTTTAGAATTATTTATTGAATACATTTCTGTATCATAAGTGACAACTTTAAGATTTGTACACATTTATTGTAACAGGTTGTTCATAATAAATCACTAAATAATAACTAATAATCAGCTTCTCTTGTGGTCATGTTTAAGGAAAAGGGTGATGCAAATAATATCTAAATGTTCCTTGTATCTTAAACACAAATAACACCCAGGATCAGAAAGGTCTTTTAAGACATTGATTTTATTTACTAAATTTTCCATCCAGAAACCAAGTGAAGGAGTGATTTCAACAAGATCCTCATATTTAGATGCAATGCTTTGAGATAACTCAATCTGTTCCATTGCTTCCCTTTAATCAGGAGGTCCATGGGCCACAATCCTCACATGCGGAACTTAAGTCCTAGACTTTACCAGATTTTCCCCTTATTGCACTTATTGTGGCCCAAACCAACCTCATAGGGGCATGATTTAAGTAACTTAGAATCTACACTTCCACACAAGTTTCAACTTTTCTGGCCCAGTAGTTTTTCAGATTTTTAAAACTCTTTAGTTCAATTGAGCTGAAATCTGAAGTTAGCTTTTCAGATCACATTTTGTCTGCCTTGTGTCTGTTCGTCTGTAATTTTTTCGCATTTTCAACGGCTTTTCAAGAATCACGGGGCCAATTTCAACCAAACTTGCCACAAAGCATCCTTAAATGAAGGGAATTCAGATTTGTTCAATTGAAAAGCCACAATGTCATTTAAGAGAATAAGTGTAAAGTTTGTGGTATCTTTTGAAAAATGTTATAAAATGTCTGGGCCAAAAAGGTTGAAACATATAAAACCTTCTCTATATGTGTAAATTCAAGTTTGTTCAAATTGAGATCTTCAGGGTAGGATGTGGATGCTGAGAGGGATCAAAATTTGCACTGAAATATTCAAAATGCTCTCAAGAACAGCAAAGCCATGAGTAGTCATTAAAAAGAAAGCATTCTTAGATTGTGTTGGTTCAAGTTTGTTTAAAAATAACTTTGAAAGGTAGGGAGGAGCCACGATAGAGAATCAAGTTTCGCATGGGAATATATAAGAAACAGGAGACCCAAGGTCTTGAATTGCTCTTTTTATAAATTGTACAACCTGTTACTTCTATTCGTAGCTTTTAAGCATTTGTATAGTGTCCATATCCTATATGCCTAACATTTATATTAAATACGCTTGGACAAATTTCCGCGGAAAATTTGTGATTGCGTACATAACTTAAATTAATACCATGCGGAAAAAAGTACTTCTACAGTATTTGAATTCTTATATATTACTTTGTAAAAATTTGATCCCCCATTGTGACCCCTCCTCACCCTAAGTGGTCATGGTTTGAACAAATTTTCTATATTCACTACATAATGATGCTTACATGTTAATACGACTTGAAATGATTTCGTGTTCATGAAAAGATTTTTCCTCTAGTTTCTTATGTAAAACTTTGACTCACCATCTTCGCCCCACCCTAACCTTAAGGGTTATGATTTGAACAAACTTTAATCTAAACTACCTGAGGATGATTCAACATGTTTCATCTTTCCTGGCCCAGTGGTTCTTGAGAAAATTTTTAAATTATGCCTTTAATTTTTCACTTATTTGTTATTATCTCCTCTTGGAAGAGGGCATGACCCTTCATTTGAGCAAACATAATTCCCCTTCACCCAAAGATACTTTATCAAGTTAAGTTGAAATCACCCTAGTAGTTCTTGAGCAGAAGATGAAAATGTGAAATGTTTACGATAACAACGACAGACAACATACAAAGCTTGCTTGAGCCTTTGGCTCAGGTGAGTTAAAAATCTTCTCCTCAAGAACAGCCAAGTCATGATTAGTCATATCTAATTTAATATGGAAGCATCCTCAAGTATTGTAGATTCAAGTATTGTAGATTCAAATTTGCTCAAATCATGAACTATACGTGTATCAGTAAGGTTGAAAATGATACCTGGTATGCAGATCAGGTAACCTTTAGTAGTTCTTAATAATCAATATCAATTTATACTGAAAAATTCATTTTATTCAAGAATACAAGTACAAAATGTACTTCAATATATTTTGTAACAAAAAAGAAACATTAACAAAATGAAATCATTAAAAATTAACATTAGCACCATCTGAATGTTATCGTTTGCGCTTTGTCGGGTAGATATCATCATCTGAATCCGAGTCAAACGTTATCCCTCTTTTCTTCTTCGGTGGGGTTGGTTTGGATTTTTTGGACATCTTTGGTAAATCTTCATCATCAGATATAGTGATGCTCTCATTTTCTTCATCTGAATCGAAGTAACTGCCAGAAATAATAAAGCAATATTCTTACATTGATTCTAAAAATTTTTAACTGCTTTAAAGTGCTTGGATTAAATACATAGGTGACCACAAAATAGAGTTACATGTACATTATAAAGGAAAAGAATGAGTACACTTAAGCAATGAGAGTTGGATCCCGATGTTTTGCGCAAAATAAAATTCCAAAATTCATTAAATTTATGTTTTATAGGTATAAAACAACAGCTAAAGAGCATGTTTTGGTATATTATATTACATGAAAGTATTAAATAATGCCGAGCGACACTAGCTTTTAAGTCGGGGGTCTAACAGTTTTGTCTCATTTCTATTGTTATTCATATGCATACCAGTTTTCAACGACTTTGTTTACATCGAGCCGCAATTTGGCCATTTTTCTTATTTGCACAGAATGTGTATTTTAACTTAAACTTATACATATCTAAAGGACAATGTTGGCCAAGTTGCGGCTCATATCTAATTTAAGAAAAAATGTCCCCAAACTAGGGTCGAGATAGCTACTAAATTACCCGGTCACCGAGCATCAACGATTAATATTATAATCACCTTTCTCACCTGACCTTCTGCTGTTCGATACGCTAACGCTTCCATTGAAAATTTCATTGTATATAAGTCTCCGTTGTGACAGTATCTATCGTACTTCCAACTTCAAACTATGGGAGATTTTTGCGCAAATTTTAATAGGGTTTGAATATAAGATGTCTCTTATTTAACTTTATGCTTTTCAAAAAGGGGTGTTTTGAAAGAATTCTGGTATAGACAGTGTCATTAGTGAGTGCATGTATTGGCTTATGTCGCCTCTGTATTATGGTCTGCAGAGCGAGACATGTACCACATCCCTTAACATTAGAATCATTTAATAATTGTGCATCCTAAAATCAACATGATCTCTCTCTCTCTCTATTCTCCATTTCAATTCGTAGTGCGAAAAAATTATAGGTGCTAATGTTTACATTCCACAGCCATGCGGTTTAAATGGCTCCGCCTATTTGCGGATACCTTAGATTCGAAAGTGGTCCCGTTCAAGTTCCGGAATTTAAGGCTTTTACATGTTCTTTTCAATTACGTTTTCTGTAATTACAGAAATATGTATGACAAAAGATTGTAGAAATAACTAGAACTGTCCAAACGGGACAAAATACCCCCCGCTGGGTTTTTCAGAGGTACGTTTTTCCATAATAAAGATATGCATCAAACAAAAATTATGAAATTTTTCACAGTGACCTTGAACTTCCCCACCTGACCTTGGGTCAAGGTCATGACACACCCTTGGGTCATGGGCAATCTTTGTGTGAAATGAGAACCTACCAAGTTTATCAATAAGAAAGATATGGACCGGACAGGAATTATGAATTTTTTCTTCCAGTGACCTTGAACTTCCCCAAATGACCTTGGGTCAAGGTCATGACATACCCTTGGGTCATGGGCAATCTTTGTGTTAAATGAGAACCTACCAAGTATATCCATAAGAAAGATATGGACCGGATAGGAATTATGAAATTTTTCTTCCAGTGACCTTGAACTTCCCCAAATGACCTTGGGTCAAGGTCACGACACACCCTTGCATCATGGGTAATCTTGGTGTGAAATGATAACCTACCAAGTTTATCCATAAGAAATATGTACCAAACATGAATTTTGAAATTTTTCTTCCAGTGACCTTGAACTTCCCCATATGACATTGCGTCAAGGTCATGACACACCCTTGGGTCATGGGCAATCTTTGTGTGAAATGAGAACCTACCAAGTTTATCGATAAGAAAAATATGGACCGGACACGAATTATGAAATTTTTCTTCCAGTGACCTTGAACTTCCCCAAATGACCTTGGGTCAAGGTCATGACACACCCTTGGGTCATGGGCAATCTTAGTGTGGAGTAGTAGATTCTAATGTCCCTCTGTAAGAAAGAAATGGACCGGACACGATTGCACAGACAGACGGACAGACGGACAGACAGACAGACGGACAAGGTGATTCCTATATACCCCCCCAAACTTTGCGGGGGGTATAAATATCAAAAGCATATGCTTGCACATTTATCATAGATTAATTTAGCGATATAATGTAATGTTGAGCTTAAAATGGATAGCCGAAAAGGTTCCAAATGACGTATTTAAGTGCACTCATTCACTCACAAAAAAATGTCATTGTCCACGAACTTTTTGGACAACCCTCGTAAATTTAACCAAGTCCTTATAGAAACATAACGAATTATGGATATAAGTAATTTCATAGGTCCAAATGACTTCATTATAACTGAGTTTTACTTTATTTAAATAATAAAATGGAACCCTAATTTACCTGACAGTGCTCTTCCTACTTTGCCTTGATCCTTGTTTTGATTGTTGTGATCCAAAAGCATTCAAGATAAAACTATTGGAGGTTTCCACCACCGCAGCTTTACCCCTCCCTCCTCGACTCCCCCTACCACCTCGTCCCCCTCGGGAGCCTCGTCCTCTGGTAGTTTCCCCCTTTTGGCCCCCACGACTTCCCCTCCCTCTGCCTCTTTTTGAAGTACTGGTTGAAGGAGCACTTGATTCATTGTCATCAGAATCACTGTTCATCTCCACATCATCTTCCTCCAGGTCTTTGGGGCGTTTAGTCTGAGCTCTTTTAATAGCTTCTTTGACCTCTGTTTCATCTTCTTTCTTCTTCTTTCTCTCCTCTTTGTATCTGTTGACTTCCTCTACGATTAAATCTTCACCAATATTCCTTTGTTTTAGATGCGTCTGTGAATATTGAGCATCATTACATCAATATACAAATCAAAACTTTTTCACACACTTTTCTTTTTTATTTTGTTATTCAGATTTACAACCTTCTACAGTTTTAATACTGAATGAGAAATTACAGTTAACAACTTTTAATCTGACAAAATTTCACTTTTGATAAATGCATCCTATATATAGTACCAAAAATACATTGTATACCAAAATAATCTTGGAAATTAATCATCGCTGAGCTAAGACAGAAATTGTTTCATTAAATACTATGGAAGCCAGTAAATGTTACCTGCGTCTTTTCAAGCTGGTATTTGACAAGTTCAGAGATGGCCTCCCTTTCTTCTTTGTCCACGTATTCCTGTACAGCATCCCCCATACCTTTCTCTGTCAGCAACTTCAGCTGCCAGTTCTGAATGGAATTCAATTGAGAGACTACATGAATTGTACGACTAAAACACTGTCTAAATATATTGAACAATTTTTTAATTCAAATGGCAAAACATCAATTTGAACAGTGAGGCCTAAAATAAAAATTTGTTTGTTTGCAGTTGCCTACTGACCCACTGAAAATGCACCTGACCAAAACTTTAACCATTTAGTAAATTAATCATTTTTTTAATTTTTCAGGATATTGAAACTGTTTCATTTTCAATTTTTGTTTTTATTAATAAGTGGTTTATAACAAGAGTTGAGCTTATTCATGTTTAGTAGGCCTATGAAAAGCTCTAGTATTTGTTATCTAACAAAAATCCAAAAACAAATTCATTTTTCAAAAAAAAAAAAAAAAAGGCCTACCTACCTACCAAGTCTAAAAACTATAGGACGACAACTGCAAACAAAGAATTTTTTTAGCTTGGCCTGATATCAAATGAAAGCATTTTTTGATAAATTGTAATTGATATTCAATCTAAAATAATGGTTTCCATTTCTTTCATTTTTTATTCAAAGTCTCTAAAAATTCTTATTTTCAACAATGAAAATTATTTTTATGTATAATATGCATGTTTAAAAGTTGATTCAGATGTCAAGAATCTGTAATTAGTTCAGGGTGTGTCCACTCACCTGATCTGCTTGGCTAAAGATGTCTTTGACCATGTCCTCTACTCTGGAGGTGTCCAGACTATCCACCTTCACATCACCTACCACGGGGTCTGTCAAGCAGATTAAATAAGCATTAAACACTGTAAGACTGATGCAATTATTGTTATAATGCATGCCATAAAGCAGAACCTAGTATTTTAACAAACTAAAAATGTTAGTACATTATGTTTAGAAATTTCATAGGCCCTGTATGAGTATAAAATAAAACAACAACTTATATTATACATGTGAAAATTATCTAGATCTTAAAACTAAGGAAAAAAATGCAGAATTTCGTTTACCTTTTTCATCAGATTTAACTTTAGTTATCTTTCTTCTTGAAAAGAGGATCATTTCTTTTGGATTGGCAACCTTATCAACAAATCGCTGTCCAAACCTTAAAAAAAGAAGAATTAAAAATTTAAATTAACACATGCACACTGTGTAAAAAAAAAAAATACACACACACATGAGAGAAATACACTATTGAATAATATACGTAGACATACATGTAATACATGTATACTAAAGAATGTTTTGTAAAACCATGTTAATATCATCACTAAACTTTCCACTCATGATTATATTGGTACAATCATGTGAAATCTAATCAAAATTAGATGAGAGATCCTCTCATATACTCGCTGTTCGTGTAGCAAATGTGTGATCAGATTTAACATCTAATTTTAATTAAATTGAATCATGCGGGAAAATTAGTTTCTGATTTTGCCTGGTACACTGTGGGACTTGTACAACTGAATGAAGAATAATGCAAGACAATTTACCTGTATCCACTAAATGGTTCGAATCCCCCGCTGTAGTCAATACGGAGTCGGATGAGGGGTTTATCTGGCTGTCTTCTGTTACCGGAGTGCTCCAAAGCTGTTCAGAAATTAAAACCCTTTCAATAATATGAATAACTCATTTCTTAATAACATGAGAAACTATTCAAACTAATAATGTAACAATCTCATGATATGGGTTTCAGTTGCTTACATGTTGATTGCAATAGAAATTATATATATACATTGAAGGAACAAAATGAAAATTTCAAATAACAGATATTGTACATCTAAATTTCAAAAATTCTAATGGATACATAAACTTAGTTTAACTTACAAGCCTTTTCTAAAATAGCTTCCACTTTCTCCAGACAATAAGCTTCCACCTGCTTATTAATGTTATAGTCCGCTGGGTTCAGTTCCGTTTCACTGAGCACCACGTCCTCCATGTAAAACTGTCTGACTGTCTGTAGTGGTATCTTGGTTATTTTGAAGTCCTTCCCTTTAATTTGTAGAAGACCAATGTGTTTTTTAACTGTCTCTCTCTCACTTAAGGATGTTGCCACACTACTGCCAGGCTGGCTAACGAAAAAGTTCTGTGAACTGTTCCACTCCGGCTCAAGTCGGCACTCGTGTTCATGTCCCCAAATGACCAGGTCTAAGAAATCGTCCAGAAACTGCTCTGGGATATAACTCGTTGTAGTGTGCTTGGCTCGATTCTGGTGGATGACAAACACATTGAACCAGTCTTCTTGGTTCTCCTTTGGTCTGAGCATTGACACGTTTTTGTGGACAAATAAACGATGCAGACGTTCATCTCTCACTGAGCCCAGACCATAGAGGGCTAATTTTGTATTCCCTTTCTGCATTAGGAGAGGGGACATTTCTATTTTCTCCAAACTTGTAGTTTTACCAAAATAGTTCATTAGTCCTGCACTGTGAAGAATGTCTAGTGAACATAAATTGCCTTGCCCCGAAGGATCATCATGATTTCCATGAATAGAAAACACTGGGATGGAAACATTCAAATTCGTATCTTCATAGTTAAGGGTAGGAAACTGACAATGCTTAAAGTCTGCAGACTGATCACTAAGGTATTCAAAGAGAATGGGTTTGTCTCCGAAGCAGTATTTTCTAAGCAATGCTATGCATCCATGCATTATTCTCCGTGGAGGTTTATTTTCGTGGAAAAGATCACCACCAAGAAGGATGAAATCAGCTTCATGCTTCTTGGCATTCTCCAAGATTTCCTCAAAGGTTACTAGTGAGTCATTGCCCCTAATAACATCCTTTTCACCATACCCTAGATGTATGTCTGTTGCCACAATGATCTTAAACACGTCATCTGCCGAGTCCTCTGGCATGGCAGCTATGAAACAGAAAAAGAAAACTCTTCAATATACATGTATGTAACTGTCAGTTTAAAATCTTTGGGATTTAAGCTGAATATAGACAGCTTAGGCCCAACTCTCTCCTCTATCAGGCTGAACAATTAGGCTGGACACTTATCAAGTATAAAATGGGTAATTGACTCCTAAAAGTGGGAAAAACCACACCACAATCTCTGCTGCTCAAGGATCAGATAACTTTTCAATGCATCTGATAGACTGATATAGGGCTTGTATTGTAAAGGAAAGTTTTGATGAACATCGAGCAACAGTCTGCCAATGAGTTTTTCTTGTTTAGTTACAATGTGGGATACTGCACACCATACACAATATTTAGTGAGGAAATTCGGGTCCTACATGTTATGCATATAATTTTTATTCCTATGTCAGTATGTCTTGTAGATGAATTCTCTATATAATTTACCATAAAAGAGATTTTCAAAAAAAGGTTACACATACTGACAAATAAATATACTTACAATTTTTCAGTTATTGGCGCGTTTTCCTTGTAAAGTAAATGGTAGTAGTGGATAGATACCGAGGCTTTCCGATGTTCAACCGGATATCCTGTTAGCGCCACACTACGGCAATCTCCATAGCGATTATTCCAACAATAAGGGAACTGGACCATCACGTTTCCCTTATCAATGTTTCCGACGTGATATGCATGTAGTGGAAATATCTGATTAATTTAATTAAGAAAACTAATTGGTTAATTGAATTTGCAAGACCGTTGAATTACAGAACAGAGCAACAAAGAAGCCAAAATGGGGGAAAAGGGAGGACGCACGGATATGGACCGTGTTGGTTTATTTCAGGAGATGGGATATGTAACAATCAATGATAAATACAAGGAGCGAGGAAGTAAGTTTAAATTTATTCCAAAAACTCTTCAATTAAAACATCTGAAATATGTACGCAGTCACATATTTATGTTTGTGATGCAAGCATTAAATACATGCAGAGTGCAGCTAGACTGATTAAAAAACCCAAACAAACATATATATGTTTTGTAGGATAAAACAATATTGGTATGTTTAGAAAATGTAAACATGTGTAAAGGCATAGATAAAACGGGACCCCTGTATCACTAGTCATCTAAGTTCATCGATATCCACGGCCCAACTAGAAAAGGTCTTTGGCCCTAGGCTCATCCCTGGCACACCTGTCAATTCCAGGGCATCCTGTAACAGGAAAGGAGAGAGGTGCTCTACCGATTGAGCTATCCAGGCCGATATCCACGGCCCTAACCATTACACATGTAATTGTCATTTGAGAGTACTAGATAAATGACCTGACATTTAATTAAACAAGTGCCTTTGCTATGAAAAAGCTTCATAATCATACATCTTAATCTTTGTTGACAACTTCAAGTCAAATATTTTACATCAACTAGATCATATTTAAAACTATTTGCAACTTTTTCAGTTAAATTCAATGAAGCAGCTGAGAAGGGTAAACAGATGTTAACAGAAGGCTCAAAAGATAGATCCGCGTTACAGACAGGGTATTTCCAGAAGGCGTTTACTCGTGTTTACGAGGGAGAATCATACACAGACCCAATAAAAATCCGGAGGCAACACAGGTTAAAAGAAATGCAAAAGAATATTGGAAAACCTTTTCAACCAAGCAGTGGAGAGAAAAAGCCGTGAGTTACCCTCTAATAAACATAATTTTATACACTTTTTTAGTTTCACAGTTTCTTTATTTCTTCTTAATAGCTGAGATATTTATTTTACTTATGCTTTATGGAATAATGATTAGAAATTAAGTTGATCAAATATGTTCTACACAATATAAATATTTTTTAATGATAATTTTAGTTCGGGCTTGGGAAACCATTATGGAACACTAAGCGGACCTATTGGTGCATTTAGTCCGGCCACAAGACCTGGAAAAGAATACAAATCTCCAGGCAGAAACTTCCAAACAAACCCAGGAAAAAGAGGCACAGGATTTGGGTAAAAAAATTAAAACAACTGCATTATATATAAACATATATAGTTACCCTAAGAGAAAGAAATGAATTTAAAAACTATAAATAATTAAAGATTAGAGTCATTCTATGTCCTAAACACAAGTCTATTTGTTTATGGAATTGTTTAGTTAATAAGTCATGGAATCAAGAACTTTATAAGGTATCTTATGAGGAAAATATATTGTTGACTTGGCTAATATGGTTTCAGGTATCTTGGAGTAACATTAGGGAAATATCCCAATTACTTGTCAGATCCATTTGACCAGCATAAAGAAATTGCTCGGGTTTGTTTATTTCTCTGAGCTCATAATACAAATGCTGGTGTTTTTTTGTTTTTTTTTTTCCTGCACTAATTCAAGTCAACCAGCAATTGCCACTTTTCTTGTTTAAAACAGGATGACTTTCCCACACTGAATTGTTCCTTTTGGGTTTAGTCATATCCATATCAACAGCATATTTCATCTGTATTCATTTTCAGGAACTAAATTTATTTTTTCTCAAATTCAATGATTTTTCACATATAGATATTTGCATGTGACTCTTGGCAAATATCCAAACTACTTGCCAGATCCATATGAAAAACACAAAGATATAGCAAGGGTTTGTACATTAATGACGTCTATTATAACTGCTTAATGTACCAACACAATATATGTGTTAATTTATGTGGGTTGAAGGGTGGTTGTATGAAGTAGGTTATGGAGATTTAAGTTTGCCAGATTTTCAATTATATAATTAATATTTACTAAATATAGGTGCTAGTACTGTTATTTCATGTGTGTCAAGAACTGGTCCATAGAGTTGCTGTAAAGTGTTGTGTCTGAGTACTGTTAAATTAAGAGACAGAGTGCAACATTTTATCTGCAAGAGCCTACATATTTAAATTGCACATTGAAAAAAAAAAACAGGAAATATATCTTGAAATTCTTTAAAATCAAGGTTTATATTGTTAAAAATAAGACTGCAACAGTATCAAAATTTAAAAAAATTATTCAAATAAGTCTCAGAATTTTTTTTCATATTTGCATAAATCATTTATTTCACAAACTTTGTGTGCAGCTTTTGCAATCTTTTGACTTTGACAATGCTGTATATATTTGTACTTGTTTGCAGTGGTGAATGTGATATTGTGATTTACACAAGCAATGTTCTGTTTTGTACACGTCTTTTTGAATATCATTGTGCCAGTCTCGCTTTTCATTTTAATCATGCGGTGTGTGTTTTCTAGCTATATGGGCATTACACTAGGAGATTATCCCAAGTATCAATCTGATGCATATGACAGAGCCAGAGAATTAACCAAGGTTGGAAATCCTTAATTATTAAAATTTGTATTTATAGAAAAAACAATATTCCAGCCCAAGTGGAAATTATACCTGTAATCAAATTTCATACAACATTATTTTTGTTTAATTATTCTTTAAAAATTATTCAATTCATTTTTGGTATTAAGAGAAGCTAGATTTGTAAAAGAAAAAAATAAATAAATAAAATTAATAGTATCTTAGCTTTGAAGAAAAAGTACAAGGTTTTATATTAATTTGCTATTAAATTATGAAATTTTATTTTTGTTTTGAAGCAAATGTTATATATATTAAGATTTATATGGAGAATTTAATCATTTAATCATAAATTAATTGCAATATAAAGAATCATCAAGTTTTAATCAAACTTATTTTTAAATTTCCTCCATTCTTGGTTGCATGGCTCAATCACTTCATAATCTAATTATCACAAAAATTTTCTAAGAATCTGACTTTCTGTCATCACACATAGAAAAAATAATATATACAAAAAGCATATTATTAAATTATTATAAGTGAAAAATTCGAAAGAATTTTTTTTTGTCCACAGATATCCTAATTTTAAAACAATGAAAGGAAATATGGTTAACATTTTGAATTTTGTAAAAAAAAAAATAAATAAATAAATAAAAATAAAAAAAAAATAATATGAATGAACTATAAAAGACTTGCTTTATATTGAAATTTAAAAAAAATGTTTTAAAATTTAAATTAAATTGTGAAATAAATTTTTATCAATATTTTTAATTTATTCAGAAAGAATTACAACAGCACAAGAATTCAATAAAAGGAACAGGAGCTTTTAGACTGAATATGCACCCTCGAGCTTATTTTGATAGTAATCCGTATTCCTCTGACAAATTAGGTCGCAGAGGAGGGTCCGCAACTATGCCATCAAAGAAGGAGGATGTCAAACCCTTCAAACCAAGCTCTCCTGGAAAGAAAGTAAGGGTTTTCTTCTAATAAACCAAAATTATTATACCTCAACTTTGTTGTAATATATATACACAGTAAAATATTCTATGACCCAATTTTTTATAATAAATTTATGCTTACAATAGTGATTTTCATTTCCCAAATTAATGAAATTGGCTTTAAAAAACTTGTGAACTTGACAGATTAGCAAATTGTGTTTCTATATTCTGAATAATCTAAGCCAAATTCTATCTGGATGTTGTATTGCATAACATAATCAACTTGAAAATATCTTCAAGTTTAAGAAACTATTTAATGAAACTGCGTTATAGCATAAAAATTACTGAATTAGTGCCACAAAAATCCATTGAAGGTCTATTCATCTACTATAAAATAAATATATCATGTGTCTAATTATTTTTTAGCCTGCTGGTATGAAGGCCGGAACATTTGATCCCTATCCGTCACATTCAGCTGATGCCTACAAAGTCAAAGTTCCCCGTTCTATCAACATTGTCAACAAGAGTGGCAAGACATTTATGCCATCCCAAGGCCCGAAGAGTACACCAACCGTGTCTATTGTTAACCAAAATGTGCTCAAGTACGTATATTCATATACACTGCTTTTCTTGCTTTGATTTCATTTCTTGTTGTTTCTGTGGAAAATATATAATTAAAATTAGCACATAACTATAAAGTTACATTGCTTAAACATATTCCATACTAGAAAATACCAGCTATAATTTCTAAGCATATTGTAATTTTCATTGCACATGGTTTCCAACATTATATCATACCCTGAATAATAGGAGTTTTGTTGACAAAGATAATTATTATACAATCTGATTTTCTATTTTTAATTTTTCTATTTTTCTTTTTCAGATCAATCAACATTCAAAATTATCGATCTGTGTCATCAATTATATAAAGACATTATTATTGAAATTAGAATTTTAGGACCGAAGAAAGAAATTGTTTGTGCATTTCAAGCAGTATGTAACATGGCACACTTTTTGTCTCCTTCCAAATTCCCTGTAAAACATTAAGAATGTGTGTGCAATTGAAGCACAAGATGTTACTGTTTAAACAGACATTTAATGTCATATATTTGTACATAAGACATAAAGTATTACTGTCTCTTAGTGTGCAAAGAAACCTCATTTTTATTGGTGTTTTTATATAATTTTATCTATGTATATGTAAATGTGTACAATTTCAGTGCATATCAGTCTGTGTTTGTTGCAATCGTCAATACATGAGTTGCCGTGTTGACAACCTCATCAAGTGAAAGCTGTGATATTGTAAGCATGTATTTCTCCTCCTAAAACACTTAGATAAATCCATTTTAACTTTGTATGTTCCCCCAAAAGCTTTGAATTATCTGTTAGCAATGTACTTGTATATGCACTTTATTTTTCTTCAAGAAACAGGATTTTCAAGAGGTTCTGTTTATGTTGGCAAATGAATGGTAGTGCTTTTTAAAAGGAATGTTCAACAAATTTATGCCTTAAAATCCAGGTGCTGGTTATGCATTAAATGTACTTCAATGAAACAGTATTTAATTGCCTTAAATTATGTCTACAACTATGAACATATCTAACAAAAGAAGTATATTACCTCAGAATTGATTTATTGAACATATCTTTATTCTATAAATTGATAGTTTTACTTTATGTCATTTCACTGTCTTTAAATGACAAACTGAAAATTGTGATCTCTCTTATTCTTTGTGTCTAATACATGTATATTTAAATTTTAAATTTCAGCTTTTGACTTTAGATTTTCTTCAACATTTACCTTTTAATATTCAAACCAATGATTTCTACTTCTTACATAACTGTTCATAAATTATTGTAATTTAATGTATTTGAATGAAAAAATGGAGTGGTATGTCATCTTTGTTATCTTATGAACAAAATAAAATTATCTTGATGAACTAGCTTCTATTTCGACTCTCAAGTGAGTTTACCCAGGTATTTCTTCAGCACAAATAACATTTGCTTGTCTGCAAAGCATGTTTCAGGCCACTTTGCCAAAATGACCTCAAGCATCAATTTTTAGGTCATCTGAGTCACTCAAGTGACCTATTGCTGTCCATTTCCGTTCGTCGTCATGTGTCGTGTGTTAACATTTGAACATTTTCAGCTTCTTCTCTGAAACATGCACTGAACCAGTTTCAACCAAATTTTATATACAGCATCTATGGGTGAAGGGGAATAAAATATGTGAATTTTATGGTCCTGCCCTCCCTGGGGCCTGAGAGGTGAGGCCAAAACCACTAAAATTAATGAAATTTTTAAAAATCTTCTTCTTTACTCCTGGACATCAAGCAGCCAAACTGTTGGCATGAATGTAATGAGCATTGAGTCCTCTACCACAATTGTGAAATTCATGGCCCCAGGACTGGGGTTCTAGTACTCGATGGAGCTTATATAGTGAAAATGCATTTTTTTCTTTGAAAATCTTCTTCTCTGCTCCGAGGTATTAAACAAGAGGTCCATGGGCCACATCGCTCAACTGAGTAACTTTGGTGATACAGTTCTTTCCCAGATTTCCACTCTTCTTACATCTATTGTATTCCCTAACACCCCCACCCCTATCTTGATTTAAATAAATTAGAATCTACAGTACCCAATAATGCTTTGATATATGTTTCAGCTTTCCTAGCCCTTTTATAAAGAAGATTTTTTCCAATATATTTCTCTATAAAACTTAGATTCCCTCTTGAAGCCCCAGACTTCCTCCAGGGGTCATGATTTTTATAATTTAGAATCTACACTACCCTAGGATGCTTCCACATAAGTTTCAGCTTTTCTGGCCCACTGGTTCTTGAGAAGAAGATTTTTAAAGATTGTTCTTATATATTTCTATGAAAAATTTGGATTTCCTATTGTGGCCCTGCCCTTCCTCCGGGGGTCATGATTTTTACAATTTAAAATTTACACTACCCTAGGATGCTTCCACATAAGTTTCAGCTTTTCTGGCCCAGTAATTCTTAAGAAGAAGATTTTTAAAGATTGTTCCTATATATTTCTATGTAAAATTTGGATTTCCTATTGCGGCCCGCCCTTCCCCCGGGGGTCATGATTTTTACAATTTAATATCTACACTACCTTAGAATGCTTTCACAAAAGTCAGCTTTTCTGGCCCAGTGGTTCTTAAGAAGAAAATTTTTAATGACCCCACCATATTTTTGTATTTTCTTGATTATCTCCCCTTGGAAGGGGGCCTGGTTGTATATTTCAACAATTTAAATTCCCCCTTACCCAAGGATGCTTTGTACCAAGTGTGGTTAAAATTGGCCCAGTGGTTCTTGAGAAGAAGTTGAAAATGTGAAAAATTAACAGATGGACGGACAGACAGACAGGTAGACGGACGATGGACAATGGGTGGTCAGAAAAGCTCACTTGCGCTTTCAGCTAATAAACTAAGTACATAGTCATGAAGAGCAAGATTGCCTCTTCCAAAATTGTGAATTTCATGGCCCCTGGGTCAGGGGTTGTGTAGATAGAATGTTCTATCGTTAAAATTATATTGTCCTACGGACCCGGTTTAACCGGTACCGAGACACAGTTAGATTATTCTAACTAGGGGTTGTGGTGTTAGGGCAGGGCTATATAGATCAAATTATGCCTCTGTAAGTGAAGATTTAACCCTGTCCATCAGTCTGTCTGCAAATACTTTACCTTGCTTATTAGTTCTGATTTTTTGTTGCTAAGACTTTCATATTTCACAGGTGTATTCCTTATATCAAGACTATTCTTTATGTACCAAAACATTTGACCTCTTAGATCTGACCTTGTAGTTTGACCCACTTTTGCAACGTTTTAACAGACTTTAACCTTTGATATTCTGGTAATTTTAGACAGTTGCTGCTTTCATGCTAAGTATGATATTTGTTTGATAAAAAAAAACTTTACTGGGGTATAAATATTTTTGATTACTAGCATTTGATCTTTCCGTTTGAATGTGACCTACTTTAATTAAAAGAAAATCAACCTTAATAAAAATAAAAAAAATAATAAAACTTTTAGCTAGCCTGAGCTGAAGGCTCAGGTGAGCTTTTCTGATCACTTTTTGTGTAGTGTCTACCCGTCTGAGAGGATGTACGTTTATTCACAGGAAGTGCCACACCCTCTTTTAAGGAGGGAAAAGAATAATTATGTAAACATTTGGTGGCATCTTTTAAAAATCGTCTATTTAAGAACCACATGTCCAAAACATTTTATTTGAAAGTTTCATCACATAAGTTTGTTCAAATCATGACCCTTGGGGTTTGGTCCAATCTGATTAAATTCAGTTCTTTGAATGCGCTCCGATATTATGATGGTTGCTGTTCATACAAAAACGACCACTAGAAAGACCTTTAATCAGATTGATGAAATTAATCATATGTAGGCACCCCCTCCCCCTTCAAGATAAGTTTTGGCTTTATAGTTCATAGAGTGATTTAGGTCTATGTATGGAAAATTTAGAAAAATGAATATATAAGTACTAGTATTATGATATTGTGGGGGGAAAATAGGAAACAGTAGATGATTTTGTAAAATTCTGTACAGGCACGTAGCATCGTTTTTGAAAGGGGGTGAGAGGCAACCAGAGAAATTTTTTTTCCTTACCTGAAAAAGTTGACAAGCAAAAAAAAAAAAATTATTGCCCAAACTTTTTTGTGGCCAATTTTCTTTCAAGGTCAAGCTCCTTTCAATTCCAATTTTTTTTACTACTATACTGTGGTATAAAGAGGGGGGCCAACCAGTGGATATTTTCTATACCCCCCCACCCCCTGATGCTTCGTCCCTGCTTCTGTATACATAATTCAATATCTCTAGGGGAATACAATAGAATATTCGGCTTTTATTAGAATTGTTAAGATCATACGTGTCTTCCCCAATTAACATCGTGATAAAATACAATATTAATGCAAAGCATCAAATAAGCTTCCAACAAAATTTAGCATTTTAAAAAGAGAAATTTCATAAAGACGTGTGCGAAAGCATTCAAGAAAAACACAACGTACAGTTTTCAAAACTGAAAGAGTGGATACCTTTATCCCAGACTGTCTTCTAACTTTATTCCCCATCCCTTATTATTAACATTAAAATTAAATTCAGATCACCGGATGAACCATTTGGGGTCTTTGTCACTCGACGATGTCGATGATTTCTGCAGGCTATGCTTCATGGCGCGATGATGAACAACTCGGCTACGTGGGAATGATGAAAGCAAACTATGATTTTATTACGATAATAATGACAGTGGCAAACATAATGAAGAAATATTGAAAATTTTGGTGAAGCTAAGATAATTTTAATTGTTTCCAGCATGGTATAAAGCTGCAATTGACACAATGAATTTGTTTTCACTTTTAATTATATATAAAACCATCAATTCTGAATTTAAAGCAATTTTCTTACACTTTACAATACTCGTTATTTTATCAATTTTATCATTGACAAATTATTTATCAAACTAATTAATAAAGAACATCCCTCCCCACACACAGTAACGTAACCAAGAAAAGATTGACCGCTCTTGCAGCTGTTATTTTATTTGAATAATTCTATTCAAGAACTTTGATGTTTTGCTTCAATAAGGTACTCATTTGTGCAAAATACCTGATGATGCGGGGTATTCTACTCAGGCCCGTAACAAGGATTTAAAAATAAATATTAAAAATATATAATAAATATTAAAGTTAACTTAAAGATTGAAGCAAATTACAAATACCAGTAATTTTTGGCATGCTACCGGAAACGCGTTTTTTATTTGGCTGGTCAAAAAAAAAAAAAAAAAACTGAAACAAAAATATAATAACAATTTATTTTATTCAGATTTGATTTGATATTTATCCAGACCAGAATTTATGTAATATCATTATGTATTATTTATCGATAAAAGGATAAAGTCATTTGAACACACTTCCGGTCTTCCGAGCTCATGGAAATCGTGAGCTGTGTTCATGTAAAGGCGGGAGTCCAAATTCAGGTAGGGACTATGCAGATGAAAAGATACATATTAATCATAAAACGTAGACTTTCTTGTGAGCACTTTTGTTAGGAATCATTGATTTGTATGAAATGTATCTTTAGAGGCAACTATAATGGGGTTTAACAGTAAAGTTAAACGAACAATCATCCACGACCAAATAGATCATAGCCATTTTTAAAAAGAACCCATTCCTATAAATAGATTTTCTCTCGGACAATTTTAATTCAAAATGCTGTTGGATCTTTACCTGCTGTATCAAACACGTTTGATTTCTCTCTTTCTTTGTCTTAAAAAAAATCCTTTCGATATCTGTCGTGTTACAAGAGATCCAGAATTTTTCTCTTAGACGGGCGAGGGGGTATTTGAATAATTCATGTTCATGAGTTTTTGAAAGAAAGACCCCCCCCTCCAAAAAAATAATAAATCTGTCTTCCTTGTTTGTTTCTTTCCATAAATGACAGCAACAGGGGTGGGGAGAAGGAAGGGGAGTTTGGGTGTCATTTTTGTTTAAATATATTAACTGAATTATTTTGGGACATTGGTGTTTAGTTTCTGACCATATTCAGAAGGTTTGTGCAAGTCATGACCACCAGGGGTAGGGTTGGGCCACAATGGCTGACCAAAGTTTTACATAGAAATATATAGGAAAATTCTGTAAAATTCATGTTCTTGAGAATAGCAAAGCTATTATTGGTCATTGGACTATTTTTAGATTAAACTTTTCAATAATAAACTAATTTCTACTTTTTCCTAGTCACAGTCCTCTTGTTTTTAAATAATTTCAAAATGCTACTCCTCCTACAGTTTTAGTTTGACTTCAATATAACTTGGCACACAAGTAGACTACTCTAAGATACATAATTCTTTTTATTGGTTTTTGATTTTGATGAAGTTTTACCATTTTTATAATAAAATAAAAAATTCTGTGAAATATACTTTTAAAATGCT